AGCTCTAACTACTGAGCCAAACCAACCAGGGCCAGTTTACACTCTTATTAGCAGGAGATGAAGTCCTCATCTCCTAACGATCTTGTTACCACTTGGTATTTTCTGTCCGTCTAATTTGTGCATGTAAAGGGTTGTCAGTGTCCCTGTTTCCTGAAAGTTAGTGAGGTTGGGGATCTCTTTATAGACTTGTTAGCCATTTGGGCTTCTCCTTTGTGAATATCCCATTTTTTCTATTACACTTTGTCTTTTTCTCATTGACTTGGAAAAGCTACCTATATATTTCTGACATTAATCAGTGACATTTCAGACATTGCAACTATTGTAAACATTTGTTCTCTAATGTGTCTGGGTTTGATTGCTAATATTTGGTTTAAGGGTCTTCAATCTACTAAATTATACCCATGTCTATGTGCAGTCTTAAGTAAATGTATCTACCAGATGTCAGCTACAGCTTTCTCTTCAGAGCTAGGTGAGATTGCTTTGAAAAACTCACCTCTCAATTTTCTGATACCAGATAAAGTAACCCCCAGAATTCTATGAATACTTGGATACTTCTATTATCGAGATCACCTTGGTTTTGGGTCTCTTTTGTTCCATATCAACATGATAGCTGAATGCCCCCTTTCATTTGTTTCTATAAGAAATTAATTTGCACCATACATTTGCCGATTTTAACTTGATATCTAAAATTGAAACTTCAGTGCTTCTGTCACCTTGTTTTCTTGTCCTCTACCCACTTCCCCAACCTTCACTGCTGTAAATTCTTTTCCTCCATTAAACAGAGCAATTCAGCCCTCCCCAAACTTAACTATGAGTAGTTAAGTTTTGCTAAGCATTTGGAGGTCTGAAATTTCCTCTTATTAGATTGACACCAATTTCCTCTTATTAGATTGACATCTCTAGAAGCCAGCTGGGTTAGAAATGAGTCCTACAAAGAGAAATCACTTTTTAATATTGCAACACTAATGAGTGCTTTTGCAATAGATACAACCTAGTGAGAGGTGAGGTAGCCTATTTTTCAGGATGCACATTTATTTATTTATTTATTTATTTTGCATTAGGGAAGGTGAGCCTTTTTTGGAAGGGGAAATGATAAACATTTCCAGAGCAGAGTTGCCTTTTCTCTTTCTTCAGGGCTAAGGCCTTATGCTGGTCTTAGTAGTACAGGTTGTAAAAAGAACATGGATCTTGGAACCTGATGTGCTCGGATACTTGTCACCTGTGTGATGTTGGATAAGTTGCATATGCACACTCATCCTCTCCATTACCAAACGAGGATACTATCACCTACTTTATAGGTTTGTTTGGAGGATTAGATGTAACATGGAGGGCCTGGTACAATTCCTGGCATTGATACTTGTTCATTACATGGTGCGCCATTATGATATACTCCAGCATGACAGTGAAGAACTCTGGAAGGCATCACACACACCAGGCACTTCTTTGTGGATTGGCTGCTGGGACTCTTGAGTAGCAAGTATTTGGGGTATTTCTGTCAAAGTGCTGGAGAAAATGAAAGTGAATTTGGTGAAATTTTCAACTGGATTCTCACAAAGCAGCTTACTTACCAGTCAATGATCTTTGATGGTCTTGGGTTCTTCACCTTTTGACACAATTTATTGTTATAAAGACTCTATTTGGCTTTGACTTTAGGTAGTGAAAAGAAATCCTAAATTCTCTCTTTAAGGCTGAAAATACCCGTAGGGAAAATCACAAAATCATTAGACTTTAAATACACCCAAATATCTGCAACAAGTAAGACTGCAGCATCTTTTTAGGAATCAGGGTAAAACTGAAGAGTGCTTTTCAGATCTCTGTATCCATTAGGATTTGTGGGCACAGGAACTTTGAAATTTTCTCACTTGAAGATGGTTTATTCTATATGCATCTGCCTCCCACAGTGCAATTAGTGAAAAGTAAAGTTAAAAGAAAGAGGATGTTATCACTCTGTCCTGAAAGATGTGTGTTCATTACAACTTCATCTGACTTCAGTTTTCAAATGCATTGTTTCAAAAAATGTTTGCACCAAAGTGAAGTTATGTACGGAAAAACACATTTCTGTTGGCTTCTACACAATTCTCAGCTAGACATTTGTATAGAAAGAAATTTGCCCTTGAAATGAGACCCCTGAAAGAACTTGCCGGCTGGAGGAACCCCTACATCAGATCATGGCAGATCCTCTAACATCTATTTCCCAAGGCCCAGGGGCACTTGTCTCACCCCATTTGCCCCCTGATGTGCACCGAGTCTAGATGGGCTCTGCCCAGCTGTGAGATTGGAGACCCACTTTCCCCACTTGGGGGCTTGCTTTTCCCTCTGAAGTGTGAGACTCCACAGGGCCTCCTCTGTGGCCAGGCATGCACTACTTAGTACAGGGAAGTCAGCCCAGCTTTGATAATGGGAATGAGACCCAGTAGATAAATTCTTATGAATTATCCTGAGATGCAGTATTCACCTGGCCCCTTAGAAGATGGTCTTGCATGATTGAGGTCTCAGCCGTGCTTAGTGTGGCCAGCTTAGCAATGCACCCTGTGTTCACTCTCTCTCCTGCTCTGCCTCATTCTCTTTCTCCTCCACTCTTGTTTCCTTGGGGGCTACTATCCCTACTAAAACTGCAGCACATAAGCTCTGCTTTTGGGGAGACCCAGGATAAGACGGCTCTCTTCTCCTTTTAGTATAAGATGCAGGCAAGCGCATTTTACTGACACAGACTTCACTTATGATTTCATCAGTATATGGTAGAAATGGATTCTAGCTTTCAGAGTATAACATGGACCATTTTTTCTCAGGTAGCCCATGGATCCTAGAGATATACACTCCAAGAGTATCTATAACACTCTACATTTCAGTAGTTCTAGTGGTTTTTTGTTTTTTTTTGGTTTGAACAACATGTAATGTGTCTGAACTTGTGTACATGAACCTAATGAAAACTCCACTTATTTACAAAGCTAAAGTGCCTCAAGCAGCTAAATATGAAACCAGGGTGAGCTGCCATCTTGAGGTGGGAAAGCCAATTAAATTTATCCTCTGGCTCCTCTTCCTTCTAGATGATTAGAATTGTCCAGGTTTGTGACATAATACCAGCTCCACGACCCAAATCAAGCCATTAGATATCATATTAATTTTGGGTTGGCTTTGTTGTGTAAAGGGGTTAAGAACTGTACCTGGCTGGAATATATATGTATAAAACTCTCCAATAGAAAATGAATAATTTCTTAGGGAAGGAAATGTGTTCATAAGGACTAAGACGTACATAATGTACAAAGGAGATAAATATAAAAGCTTTACACAATCTTTTTTTTAAAATATATTTTTATTGATTTCAGAGAGGAAGGGAGAGGGAGAGAGAGATAGAAACATCAATGATGAGAGAGAATCACTGATCGGCTGCCTCCTGCACGCCCCCCACTGGGGATTGAGCCCGAAACCTGGGCATATGCCCTGACCGGGAATCGAACCAGTGACCTCTCAGTTCCTGGGTCAATGCTCAACCGCTGAGCTACACCCGGCTGGGCTTTACACAATCTTTTGAATAGAAAATGGGAGGACTCAGAAAAGAGTACTTGGAACTGATCTAGCCCAAGGAAATAAGACATGCTTGCTCCATCTTACCTGGACTTGCCTCTTTCATGAGCCAGGTAGGATGTTATTAGACACTTTCTTTGGACAGTGTTTATTTGGTTCATGTCCTGGCCAAATCATGCTGAGCATCCTCTGTGTAAAGGAGACTCCGTTGCTGCACTGAAAACGGACGAGCTTTCAGACTTAACTTTTGGTGTGGACATTTGTTGCTTTTGCTTGCTGGTCTAAACCATCCATTTAGGCATTAATATACTGCAATATCACAGAATACTTCTTAAAGTAGCAAAACTTAGAATTTTCTTTGAGGAATTATCCCTGCCCCAACTCTTAGTCCTTAGTTTAGATGGGGCCGATTATCCATCTTTCTTTTCCCCACCCAGTTCCAGGATTTCAGAGGATCAATTTCAAAGCTAATTAGCAAATCTGTCCTCCTTACAGGGATTGGCTCGAGAATGGGCACATGACCCAGTTTGGGCCAATGAGGATTAGACCCACAATTTTTACTGGAACTGTGGGGCAAAGAAACTCCCCACGATTGAAGCTGTTAAGGCTAATCTTAGTGCTACTGGGGGGCCACCCTAAGGTAAAAGGCTATGTGAGCATGAAATCTGTATGAAGATTTTTACAGAGGAATTTCTACAGAGGAAAATCTGCACAGAAAGATGAAAAGAGGCACCTCCTGACAATACTGAGGGAGCACCCAGATCCAGCCATGCCTGAAGCTACCTTACCCCTGGACATTCTAGATCAGTGGTTCTCAACCTTGGCTGCACATTAGAATCACCTGGGAATCTTTTTAAAATCCTGATTTCTGGGCCTCATCCTCTGAAAGTTCTGTTTCTTTGTTACTAATGTTGTGGCCCCACCCCATAACAAAGAAACAGAACTTCCGGAGGATGAGGCCCAGAAATCAGGATTTTAAAAAGATTCCCAGGTGATTCTAATGTGCAGCCACGGTTGAGAACCACTGCTCTAGATATTGTAGTTAATAATTCCCTTTAGGCTTAAGCTAGTTTGACTTACCTCTTTGTCAGTCATTACAGAAAGAGTCCTAACGTGTTCAGGGCAATGGGATTGAGATATATGTTGACAGGTGATATTAATATAATTCCATTAATAATATTCTGGACATTTTGAGATAAGATGAATATAGTCTTTGAGCTACAAAAAGTTAAGTCTTCCCTCCTCCTCATTCCATCTCTGTGGCCCTCCCCCATGAGACTTTTACTTCTCTCTTTCCTCCCCCACCCCCAATACCCTCCTCCCAAGGAAATTCGCTTATTCTAGTAGATGTTTATGAAACAAATGTTGTTCCATCCCTCTTTCCCTCCCTTTGGAAGCAGTGGAGATGAGAAGGGTAGGCAATACTGGGCCTAGTTAGAACATAATATTTAAAGAAAGAGACAGGAAAATACATCCATTATAAGCTTTTTTTTTCTTTTTTAGAATTGAAGCTTATGACTTTATCTATGCCCACTATATTCATAATTACAATTTAATATCTGCATACAAAAGCTATGTAAAAATCCGTTTTTCCCAAATATACAAATTTTCTTTTTGGATAGTTTAAAACATTTTGATCACAGATTTCAACAGAGTTTTAGGCTGAAAAAAATATTACCAATCTAGCAATATCACTTAACACTGTTTGCAACACACAGATCTTCCGATGACAGTCAATCTCTTCCTATTCTGTAGCATTTTTCTGATGCTTAGGGCATGAAAACATGATGGGGGTGGGGGGTGAAGTGTTTTCTCTGAAAAAAACATGGAGATCCAATTTGGCTCTATAATTGAATGAAAACGTGTGTTAATTGGGGAAAACCCAAAGAAAAATGGGGCAATGACAGCTTATTCATGCCCTGATATCTTCTGTCTCGACAGTACACGTGTAATTAAATAGTCTTCCTTTGTCTTACATTGTGCTCCGTAATTTACTTGAGTATTATCTGAATCCTGAGGAGGACAGATTTCTGTTTGATTGTCTTGTGCATAAGGTGGGTCAGTTATACTGTGCAACAGAAAGCCACAAACAGCGTCTACCTGCACGATATTGCTTTTGAAGGCGGCATTCATTAATGTGGACACACACTGGAAATGCACACTTTTTGCATTTGCAAACATTTATACAGCACAGTAAAAATTCTGTGATAAGGCCAAACCTTTTTCCCCCCTAGTCCTTTTTTTTTTGCACATGTTTTTAATGTATTTTTTTTTAAGATTAAAGTAAAACGTTTCAATTGTAAAAAATACACACCGGGCAAATCCTTACCTGGATAATAAATATCTACATCACAGTACAATAAAATTTCTTCTCTATAAAATTTAAATATGGATTATAGTCTATCACTATCAAAAGAAACACTATGCTACTATTTCCATATTATTAAAATAACAGGAAAAATTACGAGCTTATTTGAGAACCTGATGCCATAGCCTTTGGAAAGGGCAGAGATTCAAATGTCCATGAGCACTCTTCCTTTTGAAGAGGAACTGCGGCTTGGTGACTCACTTAAATTCAGTTGATGAAAAAGGTTTAGCCTTACAAATGCTGGCTACATTTCAAAAACCATCAGACTGATTTCATAATTTATGACTCATGCAGCAAAAGGTCAATATGACACGGATAGGTTAGAGTTCCACAGAATAAGAATGTATCACCGACGATGACATGCCAGGAGGGCGCTCAGCAGTTCTGTGGAGGCTGAGTCTGGGGTGAGGGTGGGGGGTTAGTGTTGAGGAGGGGCCAAGGCCTGCACACCTGTTCAGGGAAGAGCCGCAAGAATGGCGTTGCTGGAGCAGAGCCAAGCCTGGTGGTCCACCCCGATGACAGCGCTGCAGACCGAAGAGGTGTCACTGGGTCCCAGGTGAGGGACACGGCGCTGGGTTGAGGCATCAACACGGCAAAGCGCGTCATTGAAGACAGAGGCTCATCTGACTAGAAAAAGCTCTGAGGTGGCACATGGTGTGTTGAGCAGAATCATAAAGACGAAAAGATCTTACTTTTCTCACTATTTCTGAAAATACTGCACAGCTAAGTTGAAGAGCAAAGTACACTTGAAGGTAACACACACACACATACACACACATATACATATACACACACACATACCCACACACCTCACTCATCCCCAAAAGTTAAGTGATTTATAAATAAGAATCCCAGTTGTACGGTGGTCTCCCCTACTGGGATGTCTCCCCACTGTGAGGGGTTTTGATCAGGTCCACACTTGATTCGACAGTCTGGACTGTATAAAAAAGTGTTTTAAAAAAATCCAGAGCAAATCCCTCCTAATTGAATTTTATGAGATGGAGTCTTGAGATGCACGAAGTTCCTCAATCAGTTACAGAAGAAACGAGCTACTTTGACCAGTAGGGTCATGATCCTTTGAGTTCTCATAGCCTTTCCTTTCTACCTGAAGTGCGTTAAGGCTTGTCACCCTTAGCATAAACAAGATCAGTGGTTTGCCTGTTTAAGGCAATCATTTAAGAGGCTGAGGCTCAAACGTAAATTTACTTGGGGCTGTCTGGATTACTGTAGATATACTGTGTCATTTGGCCAATGTCTAATCATGGTTAATCCACAAAGCATTCCAATTTCCCTTGAGATCAGGCTCTGTACTTATATTTGAATCTGGGTGTGTCTAATATGTGGGGGAATCTCTGTCAAACAGATTGAGGAGAACTTCCTGGGAAGGCTTGATGCCCAAGGAGTCTGTGAACCTTCCCGGACCCCACCTGCTTGCCTCCCTCTCAGTGCCTTCTCAGGGAAATCTGCCCCACGCCACAAAGCTCCGAGTTAACCCTGGAGCTAGAAGGTGACTAAGGGGTTATGTTTCAGAGTCAACAGAGGGAGCTGAGATGTTAATAAAGCAAAGACTTAAGGAGACTGGCTAGAGAGGCTGCCCAGAGAGAACTAAACCTTACTTTCTGTAGATAAAGTCCAAGTAGGTAGTCTGCCCATGACCTTCACGTTTACACTTTCATTCTCTTCACCTAGAATGAAAGTGTAAACATGGTTAGCAAGTTCCACAGAGATGTTCTGGTTTCCTTCCTCTAGAAGCCAGTGTAATTGCTGTAGTGCATTAAACATACACATTTCCTCTCAGATTATTTCCAGTCACTCTTGGGATATTCAATGCCGTTCCTCTTGTGTTTCCGAGGCCGTCCTGCCTTTCTCTACATAGTTGACGAGTAGTGTGTCAAATTCTTATTTTGAATCAATACCAAATATTTCCATATCTGTTAGGAGGGCCACAATTTTTGTCTAATTAAGGTAGAAATTTGAATATGAAGGAAACTGTCAAAAGACCCAGATTTTTCTCCCCTGAAATTAGTAGAGTATTAAGGATTCGAAGGAATTTAGAGTTTATGACTTATTCACCAGGACCCAAGGTGAGAAAACCAAGACCCAAATCTAACAAGGTCACAAATCTGTCAGTTGACAGAGCACAAATTAGAACTCTGACACCCTGACTTCTGGGCCAGTTAAAAAAAAAAAAAAAGATCTGACTTGGTTTTCACAGTGACTTTCATCCCTTTGTTTTTAGGTAAATCTCACTGATATGGCTTATTGTCCCCAGGATTTCCAGGATAAGGCAGTACAGGCAGGCTAAAAAATAGTGTTTGTCTACTATGCCAGTGAAGAATGAGATACATTCAATTGCATGGGTACATTCTTTGCCCACCTTCTGACGTTGAAGTGATGAGGCAATGTCACCATTTGTTTTCTGGGTACAAGCTACTCCAATGTTTGTTATTAGGGAGGTGAGATAGGTGGGGAAGGTGAGTGAGGGTTCCTGTACATGATCTGTGGGTGTTTTCTGTTGAATATCCCTTAGGGCAATTCTTTAACAGGGACAGAGAGCGTCAGTGGCTAGACAAGTGTTTGTTTAGAGATAGTCAAACCCCAGAGTCAGAGGGAAAAGGAGGCTAGGAGACATTTTTGTGAGTAGAGCAAAGAGCTTGAGGATTCAAGACTAGAAGGAGCATCCTCAAACCATCAGTCCATGAAGAGTGCTCTCAGATCGCTGTGCTTCCTTCAACTTGGAATGTAACTGCACTAGTCTCTCCTCAGAATTCCTCCACAAGACTCCAATTTCAGCTCGTTATCTCTCCTTGATTAGAATATGTAATCCATAGGGAAATCTGTTGTCAACACAGCAAAGATGCAATCAGGATTAATAACTTCAGGAGTTTGAGAAGGGATGGATTAGATGTCATTGAAAAATGACAACTGTAAATAGGCCTAATTTCTATGGAAACGTTCTCTGAGCCTTAACTGTAAAGAAGCCTTCCTATTATGAGGTAATAACATGTGAATTTTTGGAAACTCTTGAGTCACTGACAAACATTTCTAATTTCTTTGAGCTGGCTGAAGAAAATGATTTTCCATGTTGGTCTCAATCAGTCAAGTACCTGCATGGCTTTGAGTCATGCCTTGAATAACTTGAATTAAATCATAAGATTATAAAAATTCCAGTGAAAGAACAGCTGATTTTGGGGAACAAATATTTCTATACATTCCAAGTTAGGCTGCCAGGAGAGAATGAAGAGTGCTGAAGCCAGCATGCTTTAGAATAAACAAAACTTGTCCAGACCTTTCCTTAGAAAGCTGGAAGCCACATCTAACCAAAGATGGTCTGTGTCCTGCTAACTTGAGTCCTGCAAAAATCCGAATTGGATCAAGACGAACCCATGATCTTGGTTTTAAGGCTTCTTTAGTCTTCTGCTGTGCCATTTTGCTTGCTTGAGTCTCTGACCAGGGACAGATGGGAGCTGGTGGTGGCTTGGTGCTGGTGAATTAATGATGGTCCCCACCCCACCTCCCTAGCTGTAAAAACATCAAAGCATTCACATCAAAGGACTGGAGAACAAAATGCAATAGCTGCAAGTACCCGCATTCAAGGGGCAATTTCATCCATGTCTACGCCAAGGACTAGCTCCCTTTACAATCCCTCCCAACACAAAGAAACAAAGGAACAAACAAAAATGATCTAGGCAATGGAATGAAATGACACCCAGTAGTGCTGTAGGAATTATGAGAAGGAAGTCAGCCAGTCTAATCCTCAAACACTTCCAAGAACAACGGGGGGAAGAGTTCCGTGGGGCATTCCACCTTCATGTGCAGGAAGCGGCTGGCATGGCAGGCTCCAATCATCCGCAGGTCTGTCACCTTCATTAGGAGTTTTGGCCAAAAGTGTGTCACGTGGTGTTTTCGGTAATTGATATAGTGTTCAAAGGCCAGCAGGAAACTATCTTGGTATTTTTCTATTCTCTCAACGCAGGCGAGCCCTGGGCGATCTGAGGGGGCGCAAAAAGATGGATGTTAATTCAGAGGGTGGGAAGGAGAGGGACTGCCTTGCCTGATTCAAGCCCTTTAATGTGAAAGTGGGCAGATCTGAGGACCTTCCAACTCCTAGAAGTGAGCACGGGTGCCACATGAACTCTGGGGCATCAGGCACTAAAATACCAGAACGTGGCATAATTGCTATGAAGGGGACCAATGCTTTGTTCTGCTAATTACCTCTGGTTTAGACAGTCCCCTCCATGGGTGTGAATGGCAATACCTTCCTCACAGGGTCTAGAAGGAGAACCCCACCTAGAGAGCTGACAGACGAAGCATACCAAGGAAACAGTTTTGAGTTTCCAGTGGCTCCCCAGGAGAAAGAGGGGGACGAGCATGGACATGCACAGAACAGAAGGAAATTCGGAACAGGGGGCCTGGATGCCAAAGGAGGAGTGTTGGACAATGAGAAAATCCCATGACGACAAGGAAGCACAAGATCCAATTTAAGTTGTTTGTCAGGCTGTGGTGAACCACTCCTTCCCTTCCCTTATACGTTAGTAAAAGTTCCACCTGTAGCTGCCTTGTGTTGGAGGTGCTGTAGGGGGTTAAAACAAAAAGAAAAGGGGATGTGAACTATCCAGAGTTGGAACGAGAGGAGACCAAGAGCATGTACAGACTGGGCAATCTCCCCACTGCTGTGGGAGGGGACTCAAGGAGAGTGATAAAGAGCTGTCATAAGGGGGCTGGGTGACTGTGGAATATCCAGGCTGCAAATACTTGAATTAAAAAGTAATTTATAAACCTGGATGAATTCCTCACACAGCTCCAGAAAGCCTATCCCCACTGCCCAGGTCTCCTCAGCTTGCTTTTAGTAGCTCCAATCATATAAACTCACACTCCAATTGTCCAGTGATCGAAGAATCCGTATTAGTAAAAATCTATATAAAGTTCTGTTTAATCCGAAAGGAAAGAACAGGGCTAATGGCTCAACTCACCTTTCTGAGTCTAAAAATATATGGGCGTTTGGAATCCCCTATTTAGCTCAAATTGCAATTTGTGCATTCTTATTTTGTTTCCCCACTTCATATTTGATGTTGCTACTCTGTGGATCTACTCACTCCCTCTCTCTCCTGGTTCCCTGACTTCTCTTTTCCTTTGAATGTGCCAGAAGAATTCTCCACAGGATCCTTTAATTTTTGATCCAAATAGAAACTCAACACAATATTGCTCTGATGTATTCCTTTAAAGGGATAACTTGGGTTTTGTGGGATCAAACTCTGTCTCTTGATGAGACATAAAGATAAGGTGGTCATATAAATGATGGAGAAAAAGATGAAAGGACATTTGGATGATGCTCAAGTTGTACTAAACCTGTTTATGAAAAGAGAAACATTTTTAAAGGTCAAAGACTATTTTTAACAATCTGAGACAAAATTTCTCAAGGATATGTCTTTCAGGTCATCTCCGTTTTAGCTCTCTGGTTAGTAGTGTAGGACCAAGGAACTTGGTAGCTCGTAGTAGCTCTTAGAAAGGTCTTTGAAGAAAAGGCCTAAGGTTTTGTGTAAGTGAAATGCCAAACAAAGCAATGGGGCTTAGAAGACAATTCTGAGGAGGAACTGGAGCTTCAGAGCACTGATGTGTAGCTGTCAATGGCCAAAGGTAAAGTGTTTTGTAACATTTTCCTAGGCCTGGCAGCATTAATGAAAAGTGCCCAGGTCACTCAAGTGGGGAAGACTTTAAAGTCATTATGTCACATGGCTGTCAGGCAGGCAGAAATGGGAAGAATCATTCAGTTCGGTGTTTGATAGAGTTTGGAATTACACTCACAATTTTTGCCATTCCCACGTACTTTCTTTATCTACCTTGCTTAGATTATTTAATCTGTTAAATTGACTCACTAAAGAGGAAACTTCATATTTTTCATTAAACAAAAATCCATTTGCTGGAGGTAGAAGAGGGTATAGGGGGGATTAATGGAGACTTGACTTGGGGTGGTGAACACACAATATATAGATGATGCACATCTAAAATCTATATAATTTTATTAACCAATTAGAGGCCCAGTGCACTCACTTGGGTGGGGGGCAAGGGGAGGGGTCCCTCAGTCCTGCCTGTGCCCTCTCGCTGGCAGTCAGACATCCCTCTCACAGTCTGGGGCTCTCACAGTCTTGGACCCCTCGCTCCTTACCGCTGCGGCAGAGGCGGGAGAGGCTCCGGCCACCCCTGCTGCACTTGCCAACATGAGCCCAGCTTCTGGTTGAGCAGCGCTCCCCCTGTGGGAGTGCACTGACCACCAGGGAGCAGCTCCTGCGTTGAGCGTCTGCCCCCTGGTGGTCAGTGCGCATCATAGTGACTGGCTGTTCCGCCATTCGTTCCGCTCTTTGGTCAATTTGCATATTAGGGTTTTATTATATAGGATGTCACCCTAATAAATATAATTAAAAATCCATTTGCCATAATAGATGATAACCACAAAAATAAATGCATGGCAAAAACCTTACATTTTAGCGAAAGGTTGTTGCTCAAAACTGTTCCTGAGATCTGCTCTCTCTTTCTTGAAAAGGGAGGTTAGCCTGGCCAGAGTGGCTCAGTTGGTTGAGCACCATCCTATGTACTGAAAGGTTGCCGGTTCGATTCCCTGTCTGGGCACATGCCTGGATTGTGGGTTCTATCCCCAGTTAGGGAGCATACAGAAGGCAACTAGTCAATCTCTCTCACATTGATGTCAGTCAGTCTGTCTGTCTTCCTTCTTTTTCTCTTTCTCCCCTTCCTCTCTCTAAGCATGTCCTCGGGTGAGGATTTTTTTAAAAAGGGAGGTTAACTAGTGTTAGGTGTTAAAGACAGACCAGCATCAAACCGAATCTCTCTTTCTGCCACATTTAGGAGCTATAAGAAAGAAATAACTTCCTCACTATGATTCTGTATTAGTTAAAACTGTCCTTGTATCACAGAAATCTCAGTTAAAAGATTACCTTGACCCACCCCCCCTCCAAGAATATAATTCCACTTATATAGTTCAATTTCTTTATTTTTAAAGGATACTGAAGCCCAGAGAAGCTGGGGTTCCCTCAAGACCACATAGGGAGTTCTTAGAAAAGCTATGTTTTATTTCTACTGAAAGACTAGGGCCCAAGTGAGCTATAATTCTGAAGCTAAAGAGGAATTAAAAACTCATCAGTTGATTTGAATTAGCAACCAAATTCTCCTGACACCCAGTAATGAGCCTGGACACACTCACCTGAAGACATCAGCAGGACCGCCTGAAGGAGAGCTACTTCAGTGTCATCCAGGTTGAAAGAAGACAGCGACATGCCCAGGTCAAAGATGGCATCCGACACCACCCCAAGACCCCCATTTTTCAGCTGGCCCCGTGTCACTGCCATCTCCCCGTTCAGGGTTAAAGTCTCACTTTCTGGGTCATAGCGCACAGCAGCGCGAAGGGACATGATCTCCATGCAGCAGCCTTTGAGGAGGATTATCTGGTCTTCACATGGCAGCTGAAAAGAACCGGCCCACATCAGCAAAGAACAAGTGGACAAAGGTTAGTCAAGAGCAACATGTGGTATCATAACGGCTTCCTGTGATGGACACTCGTCCTAAACTCTTTGAGCATGTGGACTTTGTGGCTTTTCCCTTCCTACTTGGCTCCAGACTTTCCAAATACAACCATATATTTGTACTCCAAGTTGGTCATTATCTTCACTGACTTTAATCTCAGGAGTTTGCATTTCTTTGGCATAAGATACAGATCTCCAACTGGTATTAAGCAGTCGCGTGAAACTACTTATATCTCCTTACTCTGGAGTTTATATTATAACCCAACTAACTGCTTGAGACCTATGTTTATGTTAAATTTGCCAACACTTTTGACTTACAGCTCCACTAATCAACAGATGACTCTATGCCAGTGGTTCTCAATCTTCCTAGTGCTGCGACCCTTTAATACAGTTCCTCATGTTGTGGTGACCCCCAATTTCATTGTTACAAATTGAACATAATTAAAGCATAGTGATTAATCACAAAACAATATGTAATTATATATGTGTTTTCCGATGGTCTTAGGCGACCCGTGTGAAAGGGTCGTGACCCACAGGTTGAGAACCGCTGCTCTATGCTTAGCTGGCAACTGTGCTTGTCTTTGTTTTCTGAAGCAAGTTTGTTCCTTGAGTCTCTTCAAAAGCACTGAACCAGACAGTCCCTTACAGATGCCTATTACCCACAAGGCCCAAGGTCACCCATTGAGTTAGGGGCAGAGGTGAGGCCAGCATTTAGACTTCTGGCTCCTAGGATTATATTCTCAGTGCTTATGGCACCAGAATTGCTCCACAGGCTGTATCTCTCTGTCAATGTGGCGATCTCTTTTTTAGCTAATTTGGTTGCTTTAGTGAATCAGGATTTGTGACAGTGTAATAACATTAATAACAAACTTTACAAAAGAATTTTGCTAAGAAAGATGATTAAAAAAAATCAGAGTTGCATTTTTTGAATAGGGAGAACGTTTAATTAAATGCCCTTATCAAAATAGATTGAAAGACTATTAATTACTGTGAATTTTTGTTTGTTTTTGATGAATTGGACATCATACCAAGATTTATGTGTACCACCTTATTTAATTTTCACATCAGTGCAGGGAGGTACATATTCTGCTTCCAATTTTATCTATAGATGTGGAAATCCAGGCACTGAGAGGTTGAGGAACATGCAAGGGTGGTCACATGAAAGTTTTGTGAGCGAGGCCAGGATTTGAAGCTCTATCTGTCGGAGTCCAATGTCAACAGAAGAGAACACACTCTTTCAAGTACTCTGGATAGGACTGGGTTTCCATAAACAAGGGAAATGTAAATTACACATAATCTCTATCTCTTCATTAAGCAAGTTCAAATCCTTTTTGGGAAATACTCTTGGCAATACCCAAAGTTCAATTTATTATATAAAACTAAAGGTAATACTACTAACTTACATTTAAAACACTGGGTATTTCATATTTTTTTACTAACTCAACCTAGTTACTTTACCATATAATTTCAAATTGCTTAGCTTTTACTGCAGAATGAAAGTATATATATTATGTGTGTGTGTATATATATATATAATACATATATAATAAAAATATTATATTATACACACACCATATATATATAAAGATGAGATGACCAAGGTTTGAAGACATTTAATAACTCATCAAGAATTCTTGCCCATACAGTTGACTGCAGAACCCATGTTCTCAGCTACCACAGGGCAGAACTGCTCACATTAAGGATGAGTGTCCCACAGGGCAAGTCTATGACCTCTGGTAGGTGAGCTCCTCAAGGTGCCCTGAAGATGGGCCAAGAAAGGCTGAGCTTATAAGGAAAAGAGGGAGGACTTAAGGGGATCTTAAAATCTTTGCTCTGTAAGGGTCATCCTCTATTCTTGAGGATTAAAAGGCAACCACACAGCCATCTTGCTGGGATACACAGTTAAAAGAATATAGATTCAGACTCAAACCATGGCCCCCACATATAGATAAATTAATCACTTTGACCTCAAAGTTCCCCATCTGTGAAATGGGGTTAATTAAAGCCACCCTGCAGATCTGTTACAAGGATTGTATTTAATGTGGGCAAACTTGAGCATGATAACTAGGACGTCGTAGGTACTGAATAAATGCAAGTATTGCTATTATCTTTTCCTATGCCCGGTGTTGGGTGGATCTTCATCGACCTCACGTGGAGTGGAGAAGCTAATGAATGATGACTGAGTAGAGAGGGTGGGAAAGTATAAATGAAAGGGTGCACTTTCATTTTGGACTGACATTACTTTTATAGGACTATCCCTACTAGTTAATATTAAATTATAAATAATACTCAGTATTCCTGGAAATTGATGGAACTACAATGAAAAAAAAGGCAGAAGAAAAACAATCATTTCCTCACCTCACAAAACATAGGCAACTTTTTGGCAAAATCCACCACTCTGGTAATTGCTGGTGTGATGATTTTTGTAAAATGGCTGAAGGCTTCCAAGTCAACCTTTCCACCTTCTGGGGCATTTACTATTGGTGCTTGTCCAATATCTTCTGGCTAAGGAGGAGAGACAAGAAAGAGTTAAATGATGAAGTTGAAAGACCTCTATCCTACTTCTGATGTGGAAGAAAAATGTCTTCTGGACAGCCAATCTGTACACCCAGTTTATTAACAAAGTATAGAGTTGTCCATGTATGTCTCTGAGCAAAGATATATGTCTTGGCCATTGCTGTAATAGGCCTCAGTGATATTGTTCATAGGATTGGTGTGTGTGTGTGTGTGTGTGTGTGTGTGTGTGTGAGAGAGAGAGAGAGAGAGAGAGAGAGAGAGAGAGAGAGAGAAAGAGAAACAAGAGGAATTTGGGCTCTACTTCTGAAAGCACAAAGGGTATATATTCCCACCAGGTGACATACATTCTAGGGCATTTTCAGAGTGCTGCACATTCTGATGAGTGTCTTTGTGTGCGAGGTGGGCTCAATGTGGGCAGTGAGGAAGCGGGGCAGGGGGAGGGGGAGAATGCGGGAGTCCCAGCAGACAGCACCCTGTGGTTCACTCTTGTTTCCCACCCAGCTGGGGTTCAGCATCCTGTCTGCTTACAGACTCCAGTTGGAGGAGGTCACAGCAGGGTGAGAGGAACGATCTAGGCTGCCTATAGGAACTGAGTCATGCAAACTTGGCACACCCTCAGGCAGAGGGGGGATTTTACTAGTATTCAATGTCCCGAGGGCACTTCTCTGCTATTCACTTGCCTAAGAACAATCCATAGTCTTGCTGCTCAAAGGGTGGTGTAGCAGCATGGGTGTCATTGGGGGACTTCTTAGAAATACAGAATCTTAGCTCTCTCCTCAGACTCAATTGTGCAGAATCAGCATTGTAGCAAGCCCCCAGGTGGTTGTGCTCCCAATGCTCACGGGAGCTGTCTAGCTCCCTAGCCTGGCGTTCGGTGACTGCCATGGTGTGGCCTCCATGTATCCCCTGTTGTCACCAGTGCTTCCTGCTTGGGTGATAGAAGCCTTTCCGAGTTGATTGCACTTGTCTTATGATCTGCCCACACAGACCACACATGGCCAAGTCATTCATCCTGTCTGAACCTTTTGCTCATGTTCCTTTTTCAAGGCTACCCCATTCAAGAATGTGAGAAATCAGACAGTAACTCTGCCAGGGGAAAAGCAGGGCAGGCTGGCCCTGGTTCTGATGGTCACATTTTATACTTGGGTGAAAAATCCAATCAAAGCCATCCCTTTGCATGGGAATTAAGGGATCAGAATAATAACACATGTCAACACACAATAATAACACAATGCCAATAGACAATAATGTTGTTGGTATGTGTGTGGGGGGAATGGTTCACTCCAAACCGAACTGCCCCTGGGAGGTGTAAAAGTGAGTTACCCTTGGTGGGGAGACACTGCTTTCCCTTGTCTGGCACCAGAGACTTCTTGTTCCTGTCCCAGTCCACATGGACTCTTCACCATCACTGTCATCACTTGCAAATTGTTGGTGATTAAATTGAGCATTTAAATGGATGGAGAAAACTAGAAAATTATATGATGGAAGGTTTTTGGAAACAGCTGTACAATGTGGCTTTAGAATTAGGAAAATCTGCATGGCTTTTGCAAAAGTGCCTATTTGCCAATGACTCTTATTTCTCAGCACAAATGTGGATTTGAACCCCGGGTGAAACCACCAGTCTCTCTATTTTTGACTTGAGTCCTGGTCTTAGGATAAAAAATGATGAAGAAACTCTTTTGGGGGAGTAAGTTACTTACCCATTCCAGATAAATGAATACTTCTAGCTTTTACGACAATATATTTTAATCCCTTTTGATACATTACTATTATTAGCATAATAGGCCTCCTCAAATTCTATTTCAGAGCAAGATGAGCCATTATCACGTGAAAATAAATGAAATAAATGAAATAATATGCAGTGTTGCAAGCAAAAAAAAGGGGTCTCACTACATAGGAGACACAAATCCTAATGTGTAGAAGCCTATTCAGGACCTGAATGCCATTTAGCAAAGCTGACTTTAATGAAGGATTCCTAATGTCTTTGTAGGAGTAATTCACCAACCAAAAGAGTGAAAATTTCATCCTGAGCATAAGTACTCAATTGAGGTCATCCTTCTGCAAGGAATATTTGTAAATATGTATTTGTAACCTGGCTGAGACACGGCTTAACTGTACTGTCTCTGAGGATGGGCTGGTGGAACTGTATGTTCTGCTTAATAAATATTTATTGAGTTCTGTTCTGGTTATCCACCGCTGTGTAACAAACTACCCCAATACTTAGGGGCTTAAAAACAACACATCTTTACTCTCAGAGTTCTGGGGGTTGATGGTCTCAGTTGCGTAATTGGTTTTCACTTGGGGTCCCTCATACAATTGTCATCATATGGCACCAGAAGCTGGTGTCATCTGAAGGTTTCTTTACTCACATTTCTGGTGCCTGGGTTGAGAACCTCTTCACATGGCTAGCTTGGGCTTCCTCACAGCATGGCAGTTCTCAGGGTAGGTGGGCTTTTATTTACATGGCATTTAGCTTCCCTCAGAGAGACAAGGTAGCTTCCCCCTCCAAGATAATCAAATGGAAACTACAAGGCTTCTTATGACTCAGCCTGAGTGGTTACTCTTTCCAAATCCATTGTTTAAAGGAATCATAGACCAGATTCAAGGGGAGAGAAAAATAGACTCTACCTCTCCACGGGAGAATGGGCTGTGTATACAAGGAGGAAAGAATCTAATGGCAGCCAACTTGGAGAAGAGCTTCCACAAATTTCAACAATAAATGTGCCAGACCCTGGGTACAATGCTGACTGGAACATGGTCGCTCCCCCGAGTTGCAGGAGTGATCCCAGGCACAGAAGGGGGTTGGCTGATAGAAATGAAGTTCACTGTAGAGATAGATGGGACAGTGCAAGCATTCTGATCTTTCCCAGCACCCCTCTAAGAAAAAAAATGGCCTGAAGAAGTGGTTATTTATATTTGGATCAAGAGGGGGCAATTTCTTGAACAGATCAAGCAGCTACAAATAATATACATTGCATGTCAGCTCTTAGAATCATGTTTGCTAACATTGTTGGTAGAAGTCGTCAACAAAGTGAATTATGGGTAAGATTCCCCTCTCCCCAAATTTCCTACACACACACACACACACACACACACACACACACACACACACAAACCAATCCCATTACAATGGTGATGTTGAAGTAGGAGGACAGTTATATCATTATACCTTCTTGTTCGAGTGGAAAGGTACTCTCATGTACCCTAGAGATAAAAATAAACCCATAGAACAGTGATGGCGAACCTATGACACGCGTGTCAGGTGACACGTGAACTCATTTTTTTGGTTGATTTTTCTTTGTTAAATGGCATTTAAATATATAAAATAAATATAAAAATATAAATCTTTGTTTTACTATGGTTGCAAATATCAAAAAATTTCTATATGTGACACAGCACCAGAGTTAAGTTAGGGTTTTTCAAAATGCTGACACGCCGAGCTCAAAAGGTTCGCCATCACTGCCATAGAATGTCTGATGCGGGGCTCAGTGAGATACTCATGAAGGGTTCGTGTCATAAACCAAGAGCAGGGTCAGTCTCTGCGATGGTCAAACACCAGCTGGTGGTGGGATGGGTAGTCCATCTGGTGAGGTGGGTGGAGGGCCTGGACTTGGAAGCAGAAGACCTGAGTTGGCCTTGGGCCTGGCTCAGCCACTTTCCAGTAACATGATATTGGGTGAGCCACTTAAGGCCTTGGCTTGGTTTGCGTATCTGTAAAATGGGATAGTAATTCCAGCCTCAAAGCATTGCGAAGTTCAAAGGAGAAATGAGTGGCAAGGACTTTCACAATGGTTACTTTTATAAAAACATCAAACAACGATACTCTAAGGGTCTTGAAAGTCCTGTTTTCTCTACATGCCCCCTCTTTGCCCCCATCCCTACTTTGTCTTCCTGGCCTTGAGAGAATTTAAGCTAACATTTTGACTTCTACTGACATAAAAATGCATTTGAGATAAGGAATACTTTGTTCTAGGGGTTATTCTGAAGGGAATATTTTGGAGTGAGCTTAGTGGATTAAGTATGTATGTAAATGGGCATCTGAGGGAAGAAATGAGCATAAAAGGGAAAGCTGGCAGGTAATGAATTTTACTAATTAATCCCCAGCTAGTAGCAAAAGCAAGCAGTTAATGTGGCCGTAGGAACTGCTCTGGAATCTAGGGACCCACAAACAGGAGTGCTAGGAGGGACTCTTGCTCTCAGAGAGACCTGGATTCCATTCCTGGCTCTGCAATCACCTGACTTCTCAGTGCTGCAGAGTCCTTCTCAGTAAGATGGGCTGGTCACCTCAGCCCCCAGGGCTGTGAGGACTAAGTGAGATGAAGAAGAAAGTGCTGACTCGCAGCTGCTATTTAGCTGTGCTAGGAGCCTCACCAGGAATTTCCGCTTCTGCTTCCAGTGGCTGCCTTGGGCATTGGTGGCCACGTGGGCTTCGGTGACGGTTTTGATGAGCTCCCACTCCTCGTCGGTGGGCTCCGGCTTGTGCCCGATGGATTTCTGCAGCTCCTCCCGCCGTCTCTTCTCCCGGTTCTCCTCAATCAGCTTCCGCTTTGCCAGCCGCTTGCTGTCATCCAGTACCACTGGGAGGAGAGAGGGAGACAAACACACAGATACTCCTAGACATGTGGCAGACTGCACGTCCCAGGACTGCTGGTGCGCAGATGGCTCGGCGGGGCCCACAGGGTGGGTCACCCTGGGGCGTTTTCTCCCTGGGCAGCACACTGCCATCGACTAGCCATTGTCCAATATGAGCCCGGGTGCCAAACTCCCAGTGTCTAACCAGCTTTTCCAAACAAAGCTGGTTGGACACTGGGCATCCCAATCCCACAGAAGCTGGTCCTAAATAAGAATGAAGCAGGGAGAGGACAAACCTATTCTACCCACAGGTTCCCAGATGAGTCTGTCTAGCCAATTATCTGAATTCACTCTTTCAGTTTCTATAACTCCCTTCCTCCCTCCAAATGGCTCTTACTAAGAGAATTTAGGAGGTTAAAGAAAGTTCTGTAGCAATAAATGGGACACTGATGATCCCTTCCTTCAGCTCCTCATTAGCTCCCTTCCTATATAATAAAAAGCTAATATGCAAATTGTCCCCTTAGGAGTTTGACCGACTGGGAGTTTGACTGCTTGCTATGGTGTCCGCTGAATGAAGGAAGGCCCCAGCCAGCAGCTGGAAGGCCCTGATCAGCCCTGATTGCTGGCCAGGCCTAGGGAGCCTACCCGTACATGAATTTCGTGCACAGGGCCTCTAGTAAGGAATAATTAGAATGTGGCCAGGCTGTTCTTGAGTTTCACAGGTACTCACTTTGTATTATTCTCTACCTGGTCAACCCTTATTGGTGGGAAAGGCGCCCAGGCTTTGCCATCTTGACATAACCACATTCTAGCTGTGTGACCTCTGGCAAGTTAGTTAGGCTCACTAAGCTTACATTTCTCACTAAAATGGGATCAATAATACCCACTTCACAGGGTAGTCAATGTGATAATGTATTAAAAGTGCTTCAGTAAATGCAGCCATGATTTTTATCATTTATGCAGAAGGGAAACAAAAAAATCTATACTTCTGTGGTTAATTTCCAAAACAAACCCATTTTGCCAGACTCTTAGTAACTATCCGTGGAATGGAAAGGCTGAGGTTTACCACTATAGAGTCATGGACTTTTGGGTCTAGAAGGAACCCTAGATATTATTTAGTCCAACTCTCTCCTTCCACAGAGGAGGAAGTTGATCCAGAGAGATCACCACTGGCCTAAAGTCACACAGCAAGTTCATGGCAGAGCCAAGACAAGACCCAGGACACATGACTCCAGTCCTACATCACTGTCCTCGGGCCATTTCCTGATGAAGGTGTGGCCTGCTAGGAAAAGAAAAAAGCAAACACAGCAGGAAGAAGAAAACCAAAGGTGCTCAGCGAGTCTGCAAACAGAATAATCACCTGGATTTGATTAGATCACCAATGTCAAGTGAGGATTGACAAGTGTGGGGAATATGAATGAGCCCTGTTCAGTCATTGTAGTTCACTCATTAAAGGGAGACGAGGGAGGGGGCTTTACTCATAACCCCATTTACCAAATGCATACACTGTGCCAGAGATGTTGCATCAGATGAGCATTATCTAATTTGATCCTGCAAACAACCTGCGAAGTAGGTGATCATTTCACAGAAGGGAAACCAGAGATAAGTCTGATGGCCACACAGCTAGTAAGAAGCAGATCTGGGACTCCAAGAGTTCTTCTGATTCTAAAGCCTGAGCTCCTATAATAATAATAATACTTCACAAGCAAATAAGGTGCACTCAGAATGGAGTCCCACCCAGTCTAGGTTAACACTGAGTTTTCTTAAACCTCATAAACATTCGTATCTTTAAGTTCTCAATAGAACAATGAAATGGATACTTATTAATAACAGTTCATTTTAGTGACACATCTAAGTATTTGGTTCTTTCTAGGTCAGTCATTTTCACGTACCCTTGTCAGGCATATTGTTGGCAATGGCTAAAAGCCTTTAAAAGATAAAGACAATATGCTCAGCGGGGAGGTGGGATTAACCCTGGATTTGCAGCCTAACACCCTAACACAACCCTCCTCCTTTTAAAAACTCCCCATTCTGTCTTCTTTAATGGGCAGACCAGAACATTCCACAGATATTTTTGTTCTAACTGAGAGAACCCTGTTAGTCACATAAACATAAGCCATCAATTGATTTCCTCTTTCATGGGGAAAAAAATCCTTGATGCATTCCTTTTTTCTTTCTTTCCTATTTTTTTCTTCCTTCTTCTTTTTTTTTTTTCTTTCTTTTAGTAAAGGTTGGAATCCTTTATTGATGTGCAAAAAGTTTATGCCAGGAGAGGTCATTAACCCTGATGCCTGGCAAAAGAGAGGCCACCCGTTCAGAATGACACAGTCCTTATTTTATTATTAGATTAACTAAAGCTGCTAGTGTAAATCCCCTCCTCAGTGTGGGGAGAAGAGACCCAAATGGCGGTGGCTAATCTCACCACCATATGCTGTGGCACTTTGAAAACTGGGTAGGAAGACTTCAGCTTGGAATGTTTTTAAGGCCAAAAATATAACCACCAACCAACAGCAGGGTGACTCCTGCAATAGCACTCAGCTTCGCATTCTTCAGAAATTTCTGATCACGATGTTTTCTGCCAGTGCCCTGTCTCCGAAAATGGCCACAAAATAAATTCCTGTCTCTGCTTTTGAAAAAGAGTAGGAGTCATCCATGTGGTTCTCCCCACATGAATGTTGTGTGTAAAATTAGACCTTCCCAAGGTGAATGGACAAGACTCTCATTTATAATCTCCATTGCAGACAGAGTATTGCGAACAGTCTTGCAACTATGAAAGGGATCATTTAATCGCTTTCCCTCACCCATCAGCTGGAGACGTGCAGAGTTAGAAGCTGGAAACCACCCAGCAACGACTGTGGAAATGCTAGGTGTCTCCCCTCTGTCCACATGGGTTCCTGCTCGCTTTTCTACCTGGCTGATCTCCTTGAACCAAACCTTTCCCCAATCAACACCCCTTGAATATAAAACAAAGGAAGAAGATTACTTACAATCTGTTGCCATGCCAACATAGATGCATTTTTTAAAGCGACATTCCTGGCACTGGTTTCGTGTAACTTTGTCTATGACACATTTTCCTTCATATTTACAGGAATAGGATGGATGGAGATTTTTCTGAATGGTTCTTCTAAAGAAACCCTACATGAAAAAGAAAGACCCAAGACAACAGTTTCATATTTTCTAGAAATACATGACTCCAGAATCTCATGTCCACAGAGCTGTGATGGATTGTTTTGGGCCTGTAGCTCTACTTATTCAAATATAGGACAGTTGGATCAAAGTGAATGTAAAGAATTCTAAATCTGAGCTGAAGAAGATGTCACAGGACTACAGAGTTAATATCTTTTTTTTTTTGGCATTTATTCAAGGAAAAGAGGCTAATGGGAAAGTCTAGTGTTTGCTTTTATCTTTCTAAACATTGAGTAATAATATAAATAAATGATATTATTTCATTTCATAGAGAGCCATAATTATGCTGCTAAATTAAGCTATGAAGAGATTTGCTGTACTTTTTAATGGAGAATAAAAGAGCTGGAGACTTACTTGCAATACTTTGGTGTCATAATTTAATCATTTAGTAATTAAATGAATATAACTGCCTTTAGAGATTTAGTTTAGTTCTTGTTTTTGATTCTTGAGATAGCCATGATCAGTTCAGATCGTCCTTGCAACAACAGTACATGGGGAGTAGAAAATTACAGGTTCTCTATCACATTTTTCCCACAGCTCATTGCATTAGAGTCTTTCCTTTCATCATACTCTTTTTCTTTTTTTTTAAAAAAATATTTTTTTCCAATTGATTTCAGAGAGGGAGAGAAAGAGATAGAAACATCAATGATGAGAGAGAATCATTGATCAGCTGCCTCCTGCATGCCCCCTACTGGGGACTGAGCCTGCAATCTGGGTATGTGCCCTAATCAGGAACTGAACCGATACCTCCTGGTTCATAGTTTGATGCTCAACCACTGAGCCACACTCTTTTTCTCCAGTATCCGCAGACATCCACCCTAAGTTCAATGTGTTTCTTCCTTTCTTAAGGCATGGGAGAATGCCACTGTGAAATTTTCTGAGGATGCCATTTAGTTCCAGGATTAGGTGGCTTACGTAACACTCTCAAGGGTGTGTTCTACCAGAACCTTTCTGGACATGATACTTAAGTCTTAGCAAATATACTTAAGTATTGTAGGAATTGATAATGGCACAGAGCACTTATTGTGAGCAGCTCATTGCAAAGTGCTGTACACATATCTTCTGTCTCTTCTACAACTTATGAAGTAGGGACTCAGTATCTCCATTGTGGGGTTTGGAAAATGAAGCCTCAGACAGATTAAATCACTTGTTTAAAGTCACATGGGAACCACATGCTGGATCTTGGCCTGGAACCCAGGAATTAGACTCCAAATCAGCAGCAAACAGCCTGTGGCAGAGTGAACCCTGTCTCCTTAAAACACTGGTGATAAAACAGGAGGAGAAATGATAACTTCTTGGGATGATAACATGTTGTATCTATGCATTTTAAAACTCAAAGGGAGTTTTTATTTCATTATCTCCCTTTCCAAAAAACCAGACAGACATCACACTCTCCCAAACATTCATTTAATTATTTTTGATTTGGAAAAAAAAATTAGTTCTTTGCCCTGACCGGTTTGGCTCAGTGGATAGAGCGTCCGCCTGCGGACTAAAAGGTCCCAGGTTCGATTCCAGTCAAGGGCATGTACCTTGGTTGCGGGCACATCCCCAATAGGGGGTGTGCAGGAGGCAACTGATCGATGTTGCTCTCTCATCGATGTTTCTAACTCTCTATCCCTCTCCCTTCCTCTCTGTAAAAAAAATCAATAAAATATATTTTGAAAAAAAAATTAGTTCTTGAACATGCCAAAAAAATAGAGAACTACCAGACACCTTGAAGATCACAGGCCAGGAATGTTGGAAATTGGGTCTAATTTGAACTGAAACTTAAGGTTGCATTCTGGTGGGAGGGGCCTGGAGCTGGGCTGGACTCCTGAGGACCCCGGGCAATTACCTTGCAGCCTTCACAGGTGATGCAGCGGTAGTGATAGCCCGTGGCCTTGTCGCCGCACACCACACATAGCTCGTCCTTGTCTAAGTAACTGGGGATGTACCCTGTGAAGGAGGAAAAAAAGAAGGGTGTGAGAAAATAATATTGTGTTAAAGTCAAAGACATACTACAGCCAGGAGGAGGATAAGGAGAAGACAGGAGGTAACATAGATGAGAGAGGAGGCAAGACAATTATTTTATACATTTTAATATAATTTTTGCTTTAGGATCTATTTCTCCTGATCATTGAGATTTAAATATAAAAGGTAAATAAAATGTTTAACGAGAAAACATTTACAAGTCTTTCCCCGACAATATATTTCCCCAGTATCTTAACCTTAACCTTATCTGGCATCTTATCTCACACTTACAGAGCTTATGAGGCCCAGGGTTTCAGAATGCCTTAGAAATAGGTGTGCTCACACTTGTGCAAGTGGGAACAGACCCAAAGATTGTGGAGCCAGGATCCGAGACACCGAGTGCTCTGGATTCTGGTCAACACACTCTTTTTGTTTATTTTAGATCTTGTCTTAGAGGGCTTGATTCACTCTGACATCAAGGCACCATGCAAATAAATTCAGAACACTTTATAGCTGGAAAGTCCTGGGAGATCATCAAATTCTTTTGAGGTGAACAGGCCGTCAGAAGCTTGGGTTTCCTTAGGGCAGCGGTTCTCAACCTGTGGGTCACGACCCCTTTGGGGGTCGAATGACCCTTTCACAGGGGTCGCCTAAATACATCCTGCATATCAGATATTTACATTACGATTCATAACAGTAGCAAAATTACAGTTATGAAGTAGCAATGAAAATAATTTTATGGTTGGGGGTCACCACAACATGAGGAACTGTATTAAAGGATTGCGGCATTCGGAAGGTTGAGAACCCTGCCTTAGGGTCACCCTAGAAATTAACAGTAGATTCAAGCTCATTCAAGACCTAGTGATCTGGGGAGATGCATGCTCACGAATCAGCTAGATTTGATGCTTTTTTTTTTTTGGACTCTGATCACTAGGTTTAATACAGTGAGACATGACTAAGGAGAGCTTAAGGGCAATACTGTTTCCCCACATGAAAATCACTATGTCCAGGCCAATCTGATTAAGATACCATCACCAGAAGTGAAAATTTGAAGTTTGAGTTTTACACAACTTGTTCAACTTTCTACTTTGGGCTATAGAGACCACTGTTCATGCCAATCAAAAGAGTCTTTGCTTGCTGGTTATCATTCCCCTTTGCATAACTGTAAACCCCCCAACCCCAAGGGTGTATACCACTATCTATTAGGTAATGGATGGTATGGTCACTCAAATTTAGTAAGAAATACTAACAAAATCGACAGGAAAATTCATTAGGCATTGATTCATTCCAAACATAGTTTTGGGGCATCCATCCATACAAAGAAATGATAGGTAAATTTATGTTTTGCTAAGTTATGGTTTTCAATTTTTCTAAAACAAACTGTCTTATTTGTGTAGTTTTTATTTAAAAAACCTGGACTTGGTAAGGAACTAATACACAAATACAACCATTGTTTTTGATTCATAAAGACTGACCACTAAAATCCATTGGAAAATGCTAGTTAAGTCCAGAACATCTCTGACCATGTTCACTATACCCACCCCCCCGCCCCAATTCTACAGTTTGATAACTAACTAGTTCTCTGGACACACAGCCTATGCGTTGACACCCCTAAGGAAGCTAAATCATTAGTATGTTTAGTTATTCTTCCAATTTAATTTGAACCTCCTCAGTTCATCCCACAGCACAGATCCTTCTGAGTTAAGCTTTTTCCCACTGGTACTTTCTTTCCTACGTCATTTCTTTATATACTTCAAAAATCTTGAATGGTTCATTCTTTAGTCTTTCCCAACATACTAATTCTGATTCCTTTTACATTTGATTCTTAGTATTAGGCACCAAATTTTGCATCATGTTAACCTTTAACCCACTGGTAAACAATATATCCATCCATTCATCCATCCATCCATCCATCCATCCATCCATCCATCCATTTATTTAACAAACATGTATGGGCCTCTTGTGTAAGTCACTGGGTACAAACTTGAAACAGCATTAACTTAAAAGGTATTCTTTCTTTGTGTCCACAAATTGCAGCTGAGGTGCCCTGGAGGCCCCCACTTCACAAAATCTTTCCTCAGAACAGCCACTGCCTTTCTGTTCTCAGTACTGCCCTAATGGAATCTTTGAGCAGCTTTGCTTTACACCTTGCCCCATGGCTGGCTGGGTCCTTGCTGCTGGGGGACAGTAGACACATTTACATTTATTCTTGCATTATATCTTTTTACAACTAAAGAAATATTTCACAGAACTTTTATCTTTGCCAAGAGTGGGAAGACAAACGTAATTCAAGAAAAATGAAAGAGAATATATTTCTTTCTGGAAGTGAAAAATCCTATATAATAAAAGCCTAATATGCTAATTGACTGAATGGCAGAATGACTGGCCGCTATGATGCACACTGACCACCAGGGGGCAGATGCTCAACGCAGGAGCTGCTCCCAGCCCATAGGCCCCAGGCCAGCCAAGGGGGGGTGCCAGTGGGGGCCCCTAGATCGCCCCGCCAGTCACGTTCTCAATTTTTTTTCCTGAACAAAAAGCATTAAGCTCTCATAGATAATTTTTTACACAAACACTTACTTGGTGTTTACCATGTGCCAGATATGTCCTAAATGCTTTACAAATATGACCTCATTTAATCCTCACATCATCCTTACAAGGTAGCTCTATTATTAGCCATCTATAGATGAGAAACTGTAGCATAGAGAAATTAAGAGATTTGCCTGAGATAACATAGTAAGTGGTGGAGCTAGGATTCAAACCTGGATAGTAGGCTCCAGAGTCCATGCTCTTAACTACTATGCCTCCCATGTGATCTTCACAGCACTTACTGTAGACATAACTTGATAGTTCTCTGTGCTATCATTTAGTGTGTGATTACTTAATTAAAGGCTATTCCTCACTCAACCATAATCTCCACAAGAGCAGGGGTTCTGTCTAGTTTTTGTTGTCGCTGTATAGCCAGCATGTACTCATTTTGTGACCAATAAATATTTTTTGAATAAATAAATCAGTCTTTATTGATGAAAAAAAAAAGACTTCCTGAAACGAAAATGTATTAACTTTTAGGGCGAGGGTTGGGCATAATACAGTTTCATGCACAAGAAGGACCTTCCTTCTTCCTATCCCTGTAGACTCCAATTCTTAGCAGCTGACACAACCTTTCAATCCATAATTAGAGCTAAACCACTTGATGCAAACTAGCAGGAAAGGGAATAGATGGATATAATGAGTTTTAGTCAAAATCTTAATCACAAGGGTACACACACTGGCAGTCGACAGTGTTTGGCTTGCAGGGTGTTTAAAAATCTCAGCCAATTTTTAAAACCAGGAGCTTTCACATAAAACCCAGCTTTCTGCTTCTTGTGAAAAATGGGGAGACCTGGCACTCCCGAGCCCACATTTTCATAGGGCGGCAACCACTCTCTCTCCTAAGAGAGAGGCATACTTGCTAGTTATCCGCAGTCAGCACCAGACCCTATTGTGCCCCAACTCTGAGGCGAAATGTCAGTTGCCATTTATGTTTATTCCTGCATTATGTCTTTTTTACAAGTAAAAGAATATTTCACAGAACTTTTATCCTTGTCAAAAGTGGGAAGACAAACGTAATTCAAGAAAAATGAAAGAGAATATATTTCTTTCTGGAAGTGAAAAATATTCTTATAAAATAAGCAATATGTGTGCGGGTTGAAAAGTTTAAATTAAGCAGTCCTTATCAAACAACTGAGCCTCTCTCACTAATATCAGCTCTCTGGTGCTTGCAGGCGTTAGAGTTTTAGAACTCTGGTGCCAATGCGATCATTTTCTGTTTTAAGAGAGGGGATGGGTGAAAAGCAGGAAGGTGGGGTTTATTAGAAGAGTGGCAAAGGGACGGGAGTGGAAAGGGTCACCCGCAATGGGCACCAGCTGACTCTGATTTTGCTTTAAGAGTGAACTTATGGCACTGGGCTCACACGGAACACCCACAGGTATTTCATGTCCTGCATGTTTGAGAAAAACATTTGCCTTTTCTTTATCTGAAAATCCATTCAGAACGAGATTCAAGATTATAGCTCTGAAAATGTGGCCTATCAGCTCTTCAGCCTGATGTGACATGAAGGAGAAGGAGTGGCCACATTGTTATCAGGATAACATCACTGCTACTCTAAGCTGCACTGGTCTCCCTCAGGTACGCCCTGCAGCCATGGTGGGTGTGCACATCACACAATGAAGAAAAGGAGGTTACTGACTTCATGGTGCTAATGATCTAGATGGAGTGGACATAACCAAACATATATGACAAAGAGAACCCAAATTCAGGCTATGGGAATGACCTATAACACATATATGTAAGTAGCATGTTGCAGGTACATATGTCTGTGTATGTTCAAGTGTACTACTCCATTAAGAAACAGCTCAATCTGCAGAAATCTAAGCTTTTCAATATGAAATCAAAGAAGGGATTTTTACATTACAAAAGATCCATTACTGTAGATGGTCTCTAAATATTAAGTTCTTTTAACGTAGTGGTTCTCAATCAGGCGTGATTTTGACTCCAACGGGACATTTGGCAATATCTGGAGACATTGTTGGTTGTGGACTACTGGCATCTAGTGCCTCGAGGCCAGGGATGCGTAGATATCCTACAAGGCTCAGGAGAGCCCCAAAATGTCAAGAGTGCCGAGGCTGAGACACTCTGCTCTAACATACATTAAATATACTTTATTTTCTTTTTTAAAAAGGTAATTTGCACACGTGACTTAGTGTCATTGCATAAAACAAGGGGTACCACCTTTGAATGTGGTGGCGATTAAACAAAAGAGGCTGATAGGCTGTGAGCTGAGCTAGTGACCTGAAGTGATACAGGCTGAGAAAGGCAGGATGCACACTGGCTGGCAGTGGGTGGTTGGTGGAGAAAAAGTGTCATTGGTTCAGGAATGGAGGGCAGTATGGCAGAGAGAGGAACACGTGGAAAAACTGGCCAAGATTTCTGGAGCTGAGAGAGT